GCTTTAGAATAATTTTTTTTCTTTTGAATTGATACATTAATTTATTACATTTTACAGTGCAAAGAAAGAATGAGACCTGTCAAGGCAGCATTGAAACAGCTGGATAGACCAGAGAAGGGCCTTTCTGAAAGAGAGCAGCTGGAACATACTAGACAGTGTCTTATCAAAATTGGGGATCACATTACTGAATGTCTAAAGGAGTACACAAATCCTGAACAAATTAAACAATGGAGAAAGTAAGTTACTTTCTTGGGTTTTACTTGAAAAAGGAAAATCTGCAGTTGCTTCTACTGAGAAGAACAGGCTTTAGTTATTTCTCCCATTTGTTGTTCTTTTTTGTATCTTTCTGCTTAATTTAAATATGAGTCTGTTAACAGGTGAGCCCTCTTTTTTGTCCAGAGGGTGGAAACATCTCTCTGCTTAACTGACAGCAGATGCTCGGAATTTGTCACTGCTGTGCGTTTAGTCAAAACCATCCTTACCTTTAAAAGATCTGGGTTTTCAACTTCAGGTCATTTTAGTTTTTCTTATAATTCCTGCTGAAAATACGCAGTTCTAGTGTTAAAATCTGTATGATTCCAAGTTGCAGAATTCTTAATTTTTTTTAAAAGGTACTCTAAAGTGAAAATCAGATACTATGTATTAACTACAACTTGATAAAAGTATTTATCATAATGTACTCAGATGCATTTCAAAAGTGCGAGAAGAGTTTGCGTGTGTATCTGGTGACAATATAAAAAGAACTAAGAAAAAAATACTAAACTTGTATTTCATTGGTAAGTTCTTAGTGCAGTTTGCCTTTTGTCAGAATGTTTACTTAATCACTTCCTGCTTGAAAATACATCCTGATTACGTATATCGAAGTCTTAAGTGTTGCATTTTCTTGAAGACATCTGTTAAATGCTTTTGCTGGTTTTACCTCCTTTATTTTAAGATATTGAGGTGATCTGAGATACAAAACCAAGTTCCATGTCTTACCTTTTGGTAAATTTTATATTAATTTAAATGTAAACTTGTAATAGAGCTATTATTAATAATAATGCTACAGTAATATGTACAATTATAAAATATGTATTTCAGCTATATTTGATTAGAAGAAGTGTAGTTTAGATAAAGTTAGAAAGGTTCGTCAGACACACCATTGGTTGTATACTTACTCATCTAGACAGAAATTGCCATGTTTAAATAATCATAGTGAAGGAGCATATTGTTGCTTCCTGAACCTCCACATTTCAAGTATTTCTGAACACTCTTATTCTGTAGACTCTTTTAAGCATTCCACCTGCAAATTTGACTAAAAGAGTTCATATCTGTTAAAAAATCTGTGATCATGGAAAGAAAAGTTTTCTTCAGAATTGTGGCACATTGGACAGCAAAAGACTTGTTTTGTTCTTCTTTGGTTCCTTCAAGCACAGATTAGGTGCAGATTTATTACCATACAACTTCAATCCTTTTTCTCATTCTTACTTGGTTTCAAAAGCTTTGACCAGACTTTCAAATTCTTTGGAAAATTTTTCTTGCTGATGGTTTCATATAATAAGGTTTGTTCATCAAGTGTCTTACACTTAAAGAGATTCCAAGTTTGAAAGAGTTTTTACTTCCTTTACTTAAAATATTTTATTTACAAACTGGTGAATACTCAAAATTCCGACAAACATATAAACTGATAGCTATGTTTTTAATAAACATTTCACAAAAATTTAACAGAATTTTTATTAGCACATGCATTTCAGACTGAAGTACTTGCAAAGGAATCAATCTTTCAGATATTTAGAACTACGTAACATTTGTTGTGCAATTAGGCAGTATTATCTGGATTTTATAGCATTTCAGGTTTACTGCAGTAGTGCTCAAATAATTTAATGTTCCGTGTTCTGCTGGGAAATAATGCTGGGAAAATAAGTTTAAAGAATTATAACTTCCTTTTTCTTCTTTCTCAGAAACTTGTGGATTTTCGTCTCTAAGTTTACAGAATTTGATGCCAGAAAGCTGCACAAACTGTATAAACATGCAATCAAAAAACGTCAAGAGTCTCAGGTAATATTTTCAGACCCTTTGAAAATACACAAATACATATTGTAATTATTATAACTTTGATTAGATATAGAGGATTATAAAGAACATAGAAATACCCTTCAGATAGTATTTGTGTTTGCAGTATAGTGGTCTCTTCTTTTAGGGTATTTTTCTGATGTATTTAGATGAACTTTGGGATTTACCAATGCATACATTTACCAATATAAAACTTGTGTTTTTTAGCAACACAACGATCAGAATATTAGCAGCATTGTGAATACACATGTAATTAGAAATCCAGGTAAGAAACCTCTTAGTATATTCTTATGTTACGTCCCTTAAATGTTCATATTTATTTCATTTCGCATGTCTGGGTCTGTTTTCCATACCGTTAAGTCGTGTCAAGATAGGCTGATTAGAAAAGCTTCACTAATTTTCTGGTGAAATCCAGCAGAGTGAAGTTGTACTTACCAGGTTATTTAAATGTCATTTRAAAAAATTCAGAAACGTTTTCTGTGTTAAATTTTGACAGATACAAGAGGTCTGCTCAAAGCCTGTAAATTTGTTTAGTATCCAAGTCCTACACGCCTACATTCCAACTTGCCTTCCTCTTAATTCTGAGATTTTCTTCTATTCAGTGACATCAGTGCATTTGATTTTCAGCTATTTAGATCATGTTTCTTTTAAATTATCTCCTTTTCAGACTGGTTTGCATCTGACAGGTAGAAGTGCTGTTTGGATTAGGTGAAGTAAAGATGTTATGAGACTTCTTTTAACCTCTGCTTTATTTAAACAGATGTGGAAAGACTGAAGGAGAATGCAAACCACGATGACAGTAGCAGGGACAGCTATTCCTCTGATAGACATCTGTCACAATACCATGACCATCATAAGGACAGGCATCATGGAGATGCTTACAAGAAAAGTGACTCGAGGAAAAGGGGCTATTCAGCCTTCAGTAATGGAAAAGATCACAGAGACTGGGATCACTACAAACAGGACAGCAGGTGAGTTTCTCGAGCAATTTTGAAATCTGYTCAGAATTCCCTTTCTTTTTTGTAGTTATGCTTGTGGCAAGCACCAAACCATCTTATCTGAGTTACACAAAATTACATCACTGATCTTTCTCTAATGCAGTTCTGTCAGTTTTATATAACTGTGGCTCTTCATGTTCTACCAGTAATTCTAATACAAATAATTTCTCATTTTTTTAGATACTACAGTGATAGTAAACATAGAAAGTTAGATGACTACAGGAGCAGAGACCACAGGTCAAGCCTGGAGGGGGGTTTAAAAGACCGGGTTCATTCGGATCACCGTTCTCATTCAGACCACAGGATACATTCAGATCACCGTTCCTCTTCTGAATACAGCCATCATAAATCTCCTAGAGATTATAGATACCACTCAGACTGGCAAATGGACCACAGAGCTTCGGGTAGTGGCCCAAGGTCACCACTGGATCAGAGGTCTCCTTATGGTTCAAGATCTCCTCTAGGTCACAGATCTCCATTTGAACACTCATCAGATCACAAAAGTACACCTGAACATACATGGAGTAGCCGGAAAACATAACAAAGACTGACATTTTCTGGACCTTCTTTTAGCCATATACAGTAAATTAACACAGTAATTGCCTTACATGACTTGAAAGATACAGACGGGATATTCTATCAGTAGCGGTATTGTTACTTCTTCCCAGGATGCAAGGTCTATTATCCCAACAGAAGAAAAATATTTTTGTATTTGAAGTTTATGCTGCACTGTGCTGCAAATGCTGTGGCACTTTTTTTAAGAAATGGAAGATGTTTACTTTTACAGGGACCTCAACACTGCCCGTTTCAGACTGGAATTTACTATAAAACTTGTCATGTCAGAGTGGTTTGAGGCTGATAATGTTTTAAGTTATGTTTGTAAACGAACTTTTAAACACTGACCTGTGCTCATATTTCAGGAGGGAATGGGGAGAATACCTTTTTTCTTAATAAACTCTCAAGGACTTTGTTCACTTTCCAAAGCTACTTGTTTACATTGTACACTGCGACCACCTTGCCGCTTTTCATCACAAGCTTGAATATTTAAATTCTGTACCTATAACTGTAATATAGCCAGGATTTCTCCTGTTTGTGATCAGTTATAATGCCTTTTTACAAAACAAACAAATAAAAAAAAAATAAAACACGTGGCTGTAACTTGTTGTAAATTTATTAAATGAGCTTTTCCCCCCTCAGGCCTTTTTTGACTGTTCCTTTCCCCACCAACTCAGGCTTTCTTGTCACAATTATGAAACAAAATCAGTGTACTTATGTTTCAATAAAAGATTTTGATGGAGTCACTGCTCAGAATGCAAAAATGTGGAAAGGGAACATTTTACTCCATTTAATGCTCCCTTTTTTGCATACATTAGATACGTGTTTGGGGGTTTTATTAGGATCTTTTTCCCTATTAGACTGTCAGTGTTATGATTGTTTGTAATGAAATAGTAAGAAATATCCAGCTAAACTGTGCTCTGGAAAGCTTTTCAGGTGCATTGGTTTTAAAGGAGTGTGAAATACATGAACACTTCAGTATCCAAATCAACAAAAATTAATTGTAAATTCCTATATTTCCTCTTCTACATGGGCAATAATGTCATGTGCTATGCAGGGAYCTAATATTTTAGAAGATTTGAATTGTGACTTTATTGACTTAATTGCTACAATGCACACTGTACATAGATAACTTTTATCTGACAAATTAAATTTAAGCTAAAAGGACATATGGGTCTTGTAGTTTTCTGCTGTGTTTTTCTCTCTACAGTGTTAGTTTTCCCCAGTTTTACCGTAAAACATTAAGAGTACTGAATTTTAACCCTGGTGATAACTAGGGAAAGTAGCTTGGCATCATGTGGCAGGAGTTGTATCTGCTGTTACAGTTTTTCTCTGCTCCTGCAATGTTGTGTATTTTTTCCAGTTAAGCAGGTTTATGTGAAAGCATTATGGATGATCTGTTTACAGAGTATCTGAAGGTTCTACTCTAGGCACAGTTGCTGTGCATTATATGCATCATATATAGTGTAGGCTGGGACTTGGTTCATCAGTGCTGCTTCATATCTTAACTTTTCATCTTGACAGGATCTGAGGGGTTTGAGTAGTACTGCTTTTCCTGTGGAGCCTGGTTCACTATCAGTGTGGCTGTGGTATAGCACTGTGGCCTAACGTGACATGATTGATCTGTACATTTTCACTGGAGGTACCTCACGTCTCTTGTTGGCTTTGATGATGTGGATCTTTGGGAATTAGTCATCTTGTGCTTTTTGACTTTTATTCAATCTTATTTACAGACACACAAATCACATTTGCAATAGTTTATTTTTTCCCCCTCTGGTTTCCATTATGTTGTAAGTATTTGCACTTTGATGATGGAAAAAGCCTCCTTTGCTGGTGAGGCCTGTTAAGGTGTATTTTATCAATCCCGTATCCTCTGCAAAAGAGCCATYTATTATGCAGTCTTCATGCATGTAGATTTGATTCTTCCTTTGCTCATTTGTGATTTAAAGTCTGAAGTTTTGAAAGATCTAGAATACAAAATTGTAACTCTATTTCACAGAACTCTTATCAAAACTATAAAATCTGAAAGGGTAAGGTCTCATCCAGTCATCTTGTCATGAGAGTAAACAGGGATGGGAAATTACTTCCCAAGATCCTTAAGGGTTCAGCAAGTCATGTCAAATTCGAAGTAAATACATCTGAAGAGTAGGTTGGAGTTCCTCATTAACCGTAATGAGGAACTGGAGGGAAACATGCACAGGAAAGAGATAGCCCATGAGCTTTAATGAGAAAGGAAAAGCACATAAACTACAGCATTCTTTTGTTTGGTGTTTCAAAACTGTGTTCTTTCTTTCAAATGTCTCTAGCTAGTGACTAGCTGAAGAGAGATGTCTGGTGAGCTACCACAACAGATCATCTTCTAGCATGTTCTGAACAGGTTTTTTAAATACAGCTGCCATCTGATTTGTTACATTTGACAGTGCAGCCTTACTCATTCTGTTTTAATTAGGTGAATTCTTTGTAAGATGAATGATACTTATTCTCAAACAGGAATATGGCCAGAATACTACAGAAAATGAACATGATAATTATCTAAAAAGGACAGTATGTCAATGATGAATGTGTATCTCTTTTAGCTGTTGCCTCTGCAAGGGACATATTCTTCAGGGACATAGCCTCAGACTGTCATAACTATCCTTCTGCATTTTCTAATTCCAGAGAAACTCCACAGACATGACCAAAAGTGGGGGAAAAACTAACCTTGTCACAATGGGATAAAGTGTGAAGTTAAAGGAGTTTGTATGTTTTCAAGTGACAGTACTGAAAGCAAGGCAGTGTGACGTCTCTTAGAGCACTGGTTTATTTGTAAACTATCCAATTTGCTTTAAAATTTGGAGCATTTCATGTGTACTCATAACAATCATTCATTATTTGATGATAACAAATAACAACACAACATTATTTAAATATAAAACTCAAACCAGACCTTATTAGAACCACAACCTGTATTTCCATAGTAACAACAAAATATATTGTCATTAATAATTTGAAATTTGCCTATTTGACTGTGAGTCAAATGAGTCTTCCATTCATAACCTAAAAACTTAATACATGAGTTTGTAGTAACAACACAATGAATAATATACTGAATAAAAAGATGGAGTGAAGGCCCATTTCTTTACAAAATAATTGTTTTCAATGAATACACTATAAAATTCAAAACTGAGGCAAGAATATTTTAGATTACAGTATTTTCACTTCTTTTTTCTTCATAAATTTAAGGGTGATTTTTAAAGGTGCATATTCCAAAATAATTAAAAAATTAGAAGATTACAGAACTAAGCTTGCATTTTGAACCTTAATTTAAACCCTCCATGCAACTCTCATAATACAGTTTTAATGACAGAGCCTCAAACTACTTTTTCTAGGGTAGCCCACTTCATATACTGCTGTGAGTATATGACAGCACATGGCAGAGACTGCATGAAATAAACTTACTTTTTCTTTTCTTGAATCAATATTAAGTGTATGATCATGAGTAAGCCTCATCCAATTATTGCTTTCCAGCAAATTCTTCCCTTTTTTATGCCAATTCCAGTGTTTTCATGGTTACTCAGACCATCCACCCAGCTGTACAAATTTGCCRAAGTACCAGGTGGCTGAGGTGTTGTTAGCTTTTAGCTTATCAATGAAGAATTTTAATGAGATAGTGAGATACTGTTCCATCAAATATTCTGTATTACATAAAAAATAATAGTTCTGTCTCTCCAGTAAAACTTAACAGACAGAACAAATTACTGTACTTACTGAATTCAGTTGATCAGGTGGAATGTGCCTGAAATGACAGGTCCTGATGTATTATCCTAATTTCTTCTTCATGATTATTTCTTCCCTGCATATGTATGACCAAAGAACAGCCCTATGGCAGCTACTGTATATTCTAACAACTTTCAATTCTCCTTAGTACTTTATTATTTGCACTTTTTAGCTGCTCTTGGGTTTCCCTTTTAACGTGATTTAAGAAAACAAAATTGAAGAGGTTTTTATAAGTGAACAGGAAGTATTGTATTATTTTCTTATCAAAAAGTACTGCTTGAAGTACAAGATGTTTATTTACTAAGCTCAGTTTCATTCTGTTTAGCAAATTCAATTTCAATTACACAGTCTCTGTGACAGGATTTTCTTTCTGTTCTTCTTTGCTATTCAGTCTTCTCACATGATAATAGATACATTCTCATAATTAGAGTTCCATTTTCAACCTTGAGTGGAAGATAAAGGGGAGGAGCATGTTCCTTCATCAGGTACTCAGACGAGCAGTTTGAGCCATTGGATGGAGCTGTACTTCCAGCTGTGCTAAACAGGAAGTGGCTGCGCTGAAATTCTTCCCTTGGAAAATTCAGAGCATGGTTTTGAAAGGAATAAGATTAGTATGTCTTTACAAACAGACTACATGAACCTGAATGTAGATAGGGCCAGGAGCTTATAGATAGGGAAGTAACAGAAAAAAACATCAGTTCTAGAAAATGTTGTTAATTGTCACGGATTGCTGCTCAGCCAAGGATGTGTTAAATTAGAGAACTTAGAGAAAAAGTACGAAGTCTTAATAGAATTATGAATAGTGTTCTATTATAAAAGAAAAAAGAAGGAGGTGCATATTAGAAGGGGGCAGAGAGTAAGCAATTCAGGGAGTCTGTACCTTCTGAGTACCTCAGCCAATGGAGAAATAAAGAAAGTGATGCAATTGGAAACTTAGGATAGAAGGAGGGGCTGTGTCCTCCCTCAGCAAACTGAGAAATCCCAGGGAAAATGCCCCATGGCCTCTCCCTATATTCAAATAAAGTTATAGGACTCCTCTGTCTCCCTTTTGGACATAAACCTCTGACACTGAATTTTTCTACAGAATCTCCTCTTTAGGACTAAGTTACTTGGAAAGCTTAATGCCTTAATGGTTAAAAGAAATCTACTTACAAATGTCTGCTTGACCAGTCATACATAAAAACCACTTCTCTAAACTTGCTAGCAATGGTTAGTAAAGTCAAAGAATATAGCACCATGAAAGCTTTTAATACATTTGACTTATTTTCCCACAGCACTGTTAATGTTCAACTATTTATTAATGTTACATATGTAATGTTTAACCATATGATTCTTTGTATTAATTTTCAGTTTCGTCAATAGTAAAATCTTCATGCTTCCTGTGATCTGTTTATTTGTCTCAAAACTAATCCAGATGTCAAATATGTATGTTAGCTGTTTTCTGAGCTTCACAATGTAGCAACCTTCTTGCAATGAATCCCAAAACTAAAACTCTGAGAACTCAGTGGCTGGTACAATTACATTTCAGGTCTTTCCAGACTCTGAAGTCAGTCCTGTTTGGTTTTCCACTGAAAGAACAATCAGATCCTAATATAATGACTACAGCACAAATATAAGGCGGTAGTCGTTGCTATTTCTGACATACTTTATTGATTGAAATTACTATTTCGGGTAAAGTTTACAGCATCAGAAAGAGGGATAAAAACAGAAGAACAAAGCATCACAGAATCTAAGAAAAGACTTTTAGAACTGATGTCAGAGCTGATAAAGAAAATGAAACTTTAATCCTGTCTTTGGATAACACTCTGACAGAATTGCTGAACCTTTAAGAGGCATTAACAAGGATAAAACAGACAAGAGCAAAGGAGAGTATTTCCAGCAATCCACTGATCTTAATTACAGTCCAGAGTGGTCTCGTGAGTCTTGTTAACCTGTGCCTGACTTTGTATAATCATTTGTCCTGATATCAATAAGGATGTTATTGATAACAAGTCAGCTTGTCTGTGTCAGCCTGAACCATTGCTGCACTTGAGGGTGCAGGCAGAATCTGTGCATGAACAGAGGTATGGGAAATGAGGGGGCAAAGACTGGAAGGTGTTCTGCCTAACCTGCAGATCTGTATCTATGAAAGAGAGACCCAACAGCAGATGAGGGGCTGGGACATTCCCCCATCTGGCAGCCCCTGAGCCTCCCCAAGAGCATCTGAGGGAGGTAGCAAGTGACAGCAAACTCCCTGCAGAGGGGCAGAGGTCTCTCCTGCTACCCTCCTGCTACCCTGCCTGGCGTGGGTCAGGCTAAAGATGTACTGCTTCACAGGGGTTCTGTGGGGAGGCTGATAAGGCTTCTCTAGATCCTGGCCAATTTGAGTACCAGCCATATGGCCAGATGTTCAACTTCCTTAAGGTTAGGAGAGGCGAGTTTTGCTTCGATCTACAATTGAGGATTTATGTTCTAGACATACCTGAAAGTTAGATGTTGGGATCCAAAGCAAAAACTCACTTATTTTTCCATGAAGGAGGAAAGAGAGAAAGGAAATAGAAAAACAGGAAAATTCCAAGAATAATTATGAAAACCACAGAAAAGGGGTTACCAGGGATCCAGTGCTGGCTTATAAGAGTGCATGGGGAAGATCTGAGATCCCTCCAAGAGCTGGCCAGCAATCTCACATGAGAGCAGAGCTAGGCAGCCAGAACATCATGGAGGCTGGGCACGAACACCCTTGTAGGAGCAGTCAGGACAATGCAAGAGAGAAGACAGCAAGGACTCTGGCGCTTCGTACATTTTTAGACACTGGGGCAGGCTGGCCACATCCATCATTAATTTATTTGCTCCCTTAAAGTTCATTGGCTTGTTCATTGGCATCCAGGACAAGTTCCCCTGACGTTTCAAAATTTTATTATTTTCTCTTCTGATGTATCAACTACAAGCTCTTTTAATGATTGAAACAGGATGCCTCACTTTCTACAATAAAGCAGTTTCTAAAGTTCTTGTTAGAGGCCATTCAGCACTTCAGCTTTTAGACCTTAATCTTCAAAGAGGCAATGGAGAAAAATTTCTCACTCTAGGGGATACCTGGAGCAGAGCAAGAATGAGCATGACTCTGGAGGTAAGAACAAGTGGCACCATGGCRCAGTGGTACTATTTGCCAGTGAAAGGAGGAGCTTGAGAAGGAGTGGATAGATTACACAGGTCAACAACCACTGTTGCAGCTGGTCTCAATTAGAGCTTCAGCTTTTATGACCGCAGGGCCATTTTGAAGATGAAGGATGACTAATTGGTCCCACGTGACCGAGTGTGACAAAACAGCTTCTCATGTGTGTCAAGTCTGGGAAATGTGGTGATGAGAAGAGTTTTGAACTAGAAGTAGCAACAGGGAGATGATCCACCATGTAAGAGATAAAATAACATTTTGCTTCAGCCATTGTTTCAGCCATATGAATGTACACTTAGATCACAGAGACAGGCAAAGAGGCTGTGAGCAGGAGGCTAGGCCGCTTGAGAATCGGCAGGAAGGAGAGTTAACGGCTACTTGTTACTTAGAGTGGTAGAAAGAGGAGAAAGGAGGTGTGGGTTTGAGCACAGTAGGTAACCAGAAAGCACGTAAGTTCCACAGTATCCAGCCAGCCAATGGGGAAAAGGGACAGGGACCCCACTGGTTGAGGAAAGGCATAAAAGTTTGTGCATTTTAGAGAGAGGTGTGCTTCTTCAGTGAGATGCACTTGTCTCAGATGACTTGTTTATATCAATAAATAAGTTTTGCTTTGAATACTTTGTCCTCTTTCAACTTTTATCAACAAGAGAGTATTTCTAACAAGCATCAAGAGAGAAGTTGTGACCTGGACTGACAAGCAAAGGGCTTGGGCTGACATGGATGGGAAAGACCTTATGTCAGCAAAATAGGGCAGAAGGGGGCCCGATCCACACAAACAAGGATGTGCAGAGAACTTCATGTATTGTGGGGAAAATTCTCACACCTTTTACATTAGATTAGTTRAGTGGGTGCCTCTGCATGCATGGAGCATATAGTCACTACAGATTTCAGCTGACTGCCATAACTTTTCAACACAAAGGATTATTAGGATCTCAAGATGCAACTCATTAGGTCCCAGGATTGATGGATATTCAAAATCAAAGATCATCTGCAAAAATTGGAATTTATTAATTTGCATTGATAACAAACTTTGGCAAGGATTTTCTTGAAATAAYCCCAGAAATGAGTTTATCCATGTGTAGAAGGTTATGTAGTGGATTTTTTCTGTCTAGTAAAAAATACATTTGAGAAGGAAAGTTAGAAGAACACAAGGCTCTGTTAACTTCACAATGACGTGAAATTTTTCTTGTAGAATGTGTCTTTGGTTGCTTAAATTACATTTGTGGGTGGCAGAGTGGGAAAGCACTGCTGGATAACTACAGATGAACAGATGGTACAGATGGTTACTTCAAGTCTGGTAGCATAAGACACTCAGTGTAAGGAAGTTACGAGTTGTTTTGTCCCTTTGTAGAAATATATAGCTAATGGTAAGTGCTATGAGGTTACAGGAAAGAACTCCCCTAAGAGTCAAGAATGCAATGCTCGAGCCAAAGCTGATAGACATTAGCTCCTATATTCAAAGTTATGTGTAGGGTCAAATAAATGAAAAATGGAAAAAATAGTATTTACCATTTAGGAGTGGGTTAGACTGAATGCTGACTCTATGCATAAAGCAACAGAGGTGAAAAGGGAAGATGGAGAAATTCTTAATTGTCTTAAGTCTCTAAACCACCAAATACACTGACACATAAGAAAATTATACCCAGAAACTAAAAATCAAGGACACTCTCTACATAGTAGTCCATACACCTATATAATAAAGGACCCCACTGAGGGGAAATTAGTGGGAAAAAAACTGCACTGAAATTGTTGCCTGGGGAAGCTTCATTAATTACTGTCTGATAACCCTATTGTAAACAATTACACTGCAGTTTTCAGCACTTAGTTTAAGGCCTCTACCAGAAGCCAATATATTGCCATTTAACTACAGGCACTTTAACTAGCCAATAAAAATATCCTCTGAGCAAAGGTGACACTGAGAGGGTTTTTACTTCTTGTCATTAGACTAATTCATTCACTTACAATGAACTGCTTTCAGATTGCAGGGTTCTGGTTGGTTTTTTTTACGCACAAAGATATTACACAGAATGTTGATTTTAAACATTTGCATTATAATTACCAGACAACTGACCTTTTCTTAGTACTGAAAAAGCTGGTAAGATTTTCACTTTTGAAGTGAAYCTCATTTCACCCCCTTACCCTGCTTTTGGTTCATCCCTATCTGGATTTAATGGATCCTTCCTTGGGTAACAAAATGGGAAGAGATGTTCAGAAGACCATGTAATGCACTCCAACTGTTGTTTGCTACGTTCAAGCTAGTGTAGAAAAAACTCAGAGCAAAATCCTCTGAAATGGGTAGAACCAGACATTTTCCTATACGCTTCTGCTCCCATCAGACAATGTAGGAGCACCATGCTAACACATTTTTGAAAAGAGCTTTGTTTGGCTTGGTTTTAATAATTGTGAAATTTGGATTTTTATTTGAGTCTAAACCCCAAAGCGTTTCCACTTTTAAGGGTCTTCTGTTTCTGCTCATAAAAGAGCCACATCAGGATTGCCAGATTTTGTGAAGAACATAACAATACAATACAATACAATGCATCCAGAGAAAGTCCAAAAATAATCCATTGTTTTAAAGAGTTAGCTGATAGCCTGCTGGGAAAGAAGCTCTTAGCACTTCTGACAATGAACATGCAAGTCTGCTTATGGAAAGTTTTCAAAGAGTCAAACACAGAGGTTTATCTCATAGGACTTGACATTTTTTGGCTGAGCACTTTGACTAGTGGTGGAGAATAGGCAGAAGACTGTGATTATCATATATACAGGGACATCTGAAATTATTTTTCACCAATTATTGTAGAGAAATATCTGTTTGTCCTTTCCCAGTGGGATTTTTGATTGATCTCTTTAAGATACATAATCTCATTTGCAAGGTGAGACATCCATTTTTTTAAACACACATTAAAAAAAATTAAATCATTCTGAAATGGTGGCATTCCAAAGAGTCCCAAACACTACTGTGTAAGGCACAATTTAGTGATTAGGGCCTTCTTACTGGATTTATAATTGCTGAAGTATTGTAAAAATTTTTTTCCCAGAAAGTGTGTTCTGGTAGCCATTTTCTCTCATGACTTAGTATCAACTTACTTATTTTACTGAGAATTAGTTCATTGTGTCTTAAGCAAGCTAGGGAGTGATGACTAGCAGCATCTGAAGGAGCAATAACTAGATGAAGGCAGGTCATGCCAAACTACCAGCACTATCACAGTCCAAAAGGGATTAGAGATGGCATCACAGTGACATGACTCTTTAACTTGACCTATCCACAAGGGTTTGCCACAACTGAGCTATCCTTAGACAGGCGGGATTACAGAAAGAGTTATTCCTCTGATGTACCCGACCTATAGACAGTGGGAGTGGTTTTAATCCTAATGCACTCGTTGAAGGCAGGACTCATACACTTTCAAGCAGGTATGAAAAAAGCTGAGCATTCTTCCTGAGAAAGGATAGCAACCTGCACTTTTATCAGTACTAGATATATACGATAAGACCAGTAAGATAATTATTACAGTCACCCAAGTAAGCAAGAAACCTTTGTTTACACATCTCCTTCACATAATTTGGAGTGGAGATTCAAACATCCATCTCTTACTTTCTAGTCTAAAATATTAATAATTTGGCTGCAGGATAGCTAAGGGTTTTGCCAACCTCAGCTGTTGAAACTGTTTATACAGAAAACATCTGTATGGTAATAATAGCAAAGGACACATCAAAGAGTCTAAAAGGTAAATACTCCAATTAAAAAATGCAGCCCTTCCTCCTCTACAGACTTGTTATATAATTTCTATAATTTACTGGAAAATGCAAACAGTCTGGGATTTAAAGACCAAAATTATGATCAGAAGCATTACCATTAAGACCTTACCCATCTGGTCTCTTTCCTCTTTATCCTGTGACTTCAGCTTCTTTTTTCTCTTTCCCACCTGTCCCCTGATCCACAAAGAGCTGCCTCGGGAGGACAGAAAAGGCCAGTACAGCAAGGATAGGGTGGCCTTCTTGCTTTCTCCAGTTCTAGTTTCAAGACAATCAAACATTGAAGTTTTCAGATTTTAGGTAAAACCCAGTTCTGGTGAGATTTTCCCAGGCAAGGTATCTCTATCAATCAGGCCTGGGAGACAGGGCGCTGTGCAGGACATGCTGTATCAGGTGGCCTGTCTCTAGCAAACAGAGGTTGTCCCTCGGTATAAACCTAGGCTGGAATCTCTGATGTACCCATCAGAGCTGGACTAATTTCACCTCACTTCAGCTATTTAAAATAGCTGTTTCTTCCTCTCCTGGACAATAGCAATAGGCGTTTCCAGAAGACAGTTCAACCCAATCTACAATGTTGCCATTCACTTCACTGTCTACAGAGGTGGCTTACATGTTTCATTTGCTGAATGTAGGTGAAGCATTGAAGTATGCCTCCAGTCTCCTTTAAGGCATCTAAGACCTATTCTGGGTAAACCTACCTCTCTGTAACACCACCAAACAGTGTTTTTTTGGTAACAACTCCCAGCTGTTACTCTCACAAGATGTGGAAGACTAAGGCAGAAGAGGAAATTCAACTCACCTCTCCCAAACTTCAGCAGAAAGCTCACCACCACCAGACTCTAAACAACTCCACCGTAACCTGCCAAACAAGAGTGAGCAAGTCAAATACCTGCCAAAAAATCCCTGCAAGTAAACCAGGTAAATGACCAACATAGGTATCTGGCTGGGATAGAGGTACAAGTATCAAAACCGCTTTTGTTTTTTCTGCTCAGCAGCAAAATATTCTGCTGTAAGGAGGCTTACTGAACTAAGAAGATACGTAGAGATCCTAGAGAAACAACTGGGTTCACACTAAAAAGGCTTTTCAAAAAAACTGTGTGTCTCAGTTTTGGATTTAGATGTTTCACACCCAAACAAGACATACAAAACTTTTGTAGACCTTGCCCTCAGCACATACTAGAATCAATGACACATATTTTGTGTACATAAAGGAGTATTCTCCACTGTTACAGTGTAGACAGAAGTGGAAATAAAGCTTTAAAACTAGTGTAATAATGAAAACAATTCCTACAAATTATTGGCACTCATATGTCACATTTTTTTGTATCTAATGAAGTCTGACATATACCCCTGCACAAAGACTATAATCATTCTTACCGTTCACAGTTGATTTACTACCAATGGCTTTTAACTTTAATGAAGTTTAGTTTGCAAACAAAAGGAATCCTGAATCAGATCAGAAGGAATTGTTTTACATCAGCATCCCAAATTTACCTGCATATTTGTACTTGATCTGTGACTATGTTGGTCTCCATAACAAGATAATTAATATGAATGGTAAAATCTAATGGACAATACTGATCCTCACAATCCTTGTTTGTTCTGAATACAGATGAAGGGAAGTAGTGGCACAATACAGAGAATGCTTATCTTGTAAAAAACACCGAATACCTTCTAAAAAAACGGAATTACTACTGTTTGGACATTGTATAGATAGCAGTCTATTAAGCTGGAACAASGAAAGACAGAAAAAAATTTATAGAAGTCAAGATGGGAATTAAATAACCAAATCATGAAAATTTCATGTAAAATACAACAGCTGTACTTACATGCAAGATTTTAAACTGTGTGTTTCTCCTCAAAAAAGAAAGCTACGAGACTCTTGAGCAGTTTTTCAAAACACGTCCACTAATGAAATTCTCATTAGGCAACATAAAGCTTTCAATATTGCGTGCTTCACTTTGGAGTGTACATAAGTAAAGAGCCAGTTGCAGAACCCCAAAACTCATAAAACAAATGCGTGGTAGTCATAATGCTGAAGAAAGAGAATGTTAATAGTAGGTAATCTATTTTCTGGCAGTACAGCAGCAGTCTGAAAGGAAATGCAGGACTTAAGGTCTGTAACTTGACCATAAGAACAAAAGGTTGTACTCTCGGGCTGTGTTGCATTTAACAGATGCTCTATGCAGATTTTTCTTCCAGCCATGTTTTCCAGAAAGAAAAAAAAAATTTGGTTTAGCATGCAATTGAACCTACTACTTCTTTCTTCTGTACATAAAAGATTAGGCATACAGTCTCTGCCAGTCCTGCAATATGCTTCCAAAGAAGTTGTCAGACCCCACAACTACAGACAACTATCTGGCTAGAAATGCTCTAGAAGATACTTAAAAACCTCTTTTGAGCAAGCCAAAATACCTAGTACACATGGTATCAGCTAACTTAAGAMAAAGGGGAGCAATTGATAGCATCAGTAATGGCTGACTGGTTGTTGCATTAAAATACTGATGGTCAGGTTACATTGCCTACTGCAGAGCTCATGGTGTTAGACCAACACCCCTGAGAGTAAGCTACTACAGGTATGACAGCTGCCTTCTGTGTACAGTAAACATATATATATTTAACGCTCCTTTTGCCTTATACACCCATTTCCACAAGGCCTGATGTATGCACATCTACCAGATCAGACTATTTCTCACACATCTCTACTTCTAGCTGTAACACAAGCTTAGTAAAGCATCATTCAAAGTTGTGTTTATTAGGTCTATTTTTCTTGGTATGTATCAGACATAATTTCTTTTAAGTTTTGGCACTTTCAATTTACCTTCACACAGCGGAGGATTAGCCTTGCAGCTGAAATATTACATACATACATAGCAGTCCATCTTGTTACACAAAGTTCTGTAATTCCCTGTACTCTTCTATATCATTTATTCAAATTTCATCATCTCTTCTTTAGTTTTACAGTAAAGAATTTTCTGTTCCAAAGTTCTTCTGGTTTGAGAGCTCTCCAACAACTTGAAAAGAGAATTTTTATAATGCCTCTAAGGAGGGATGCAGCATTCACACAGATCACTGTGTTAAAGCTCTGTAAGAATCTCCTCAAACACTACAAAGGAAGTGTACCACTGGAATCCTGAGGGAATGGTTCCTGATCTTAATTTCCTACACACTGTCTTTTCAATGAATTGGCCTGATTTGCAGATGCTGGTCATAAATTTACGTATCTTATTTAGCAGAAGGAAATTAGCATCTGCAAGAAGTGCAACAATTGTATTCAACACATTCCTAACCAACAAACTATCCATCCTACTTGGCTAGGAGACAATCCGAGGGGGTTTTCATAGATTATCTGCCCAGTACGTGGTCTACATCCCCAATTTCTTCCATCCCATCAGGGGTCACTCACACCATATTACTGACATTCCTCTGCAGGGCAGGCAACAACTCTTCTGTTACAATAATTTAAAATAATTACTATTGTGGGTTAAGGTTACACACTGAACACCTACTCTTTTACATACACACATACACTTACTGGTATACCGATGAACCACATCTAAAACATTTTGCAAAGACTAACACATTGTGGGGTTTCAAACAATGAAAAAAATATATATCTATAGCCTTCTATAACACAGACAACTGGAGGGCTTGGTGGAGAAAAAAAAAAGTGTTCCATCTAAGTTTAAGCTTTCTACAGAGACCATTCACTAGCTTCATAATATTAATGTTTGATGATAACTAAAGCTTTCTAAAAAAACCCACAAGTTAATTCAGTTTAAAAAACTGTGTTAAACCAAGTACTATTTAGAATATTGACTATTTTATCTGTAATACGTATTTACTCAGATACACATTAAATATTTAATATGTAAAAAATAAAGTGCCTTCTATCAAGTCCCAATGCAGGGACATTATAAAACATTTCAACAACTGTGAAATAAGTTACTGAATCAAAAATATAAAAGACACAGAATACTGAATCAAGCATACATGAAAACAGTTAACATAATATGTACAATTTGGTGGATGCCCCAAGACAAAAACATCCCTTCATTATACATGGTATATATTTATATAATCATCTTTATTCAATATATTATGACAATATGTATTTCAAAATTTTGTTATAGCCTGAAAAAAACAACCCTTACAAGTACACAACAAGGTTCATGCACAGAAGTCCAAGACTGACAAAGAATTTGCTATTCCTGCCCACACCACCATCGCCGCTCCTGGGAAAGATATGCCAGCGTTCTTTGCTGGGGTGCAGTGCCTCTACATCCTGTAAGGCACTGTGAGCAGCAGCTGTGAAATTGGCATCGCCAGTGGTGAGCAGATCAAATATACATGAGTAAAAATAGATGTCCTTCACAAACATCTTCTCGTGACACTTGCTGGTGGCTGTTTCCAGTGTGTACCCTGATCGGGGATGAGCAGCAGTACTCCAAGGAAGCAGCTTTCCGATCACAGGCAGTGGCAAGTGGCCACTCTTATCAATACGTTCATTGGAAGGGCAGCCGTTCACGCAGAGCTGCAGATCCTGGCTTTCCTCATAGGCCATCACCAACTCCTGGGGCATGCGAATGGCCAGGGTCAGGTAGTGACCAAGCTGACGGATATACACTGTGGTCCCGATGTACCTGGCATACATCTCAATGTATTTGCCACTGACTTTCTCCACGATCTGCAAGCTCCTGGTGTTCCCATCTCCTCCTGTTGTTGTACCATCAACAAAAGCTGCAGGCAAGTCATCAGTCACTGCTTGATACACTTTCTGATCTATACAGTCTTGGTATGATTTGAAGATAATAGTTATCTTGGGGGAAGGGGAAAAAAAGCAAAGTTAGTGGAAAGAAATCATCATCTCAATCCCTTCTGCAACTGAATATATTTGGAAGTGCCCACTRCCTCAAAACTCTTTAAGTTGTCCACAACCCATGCCTAGGGAAAGCAGCCAGTACATGCTTAATGCAGTTTTTTACCAGATGACAATTGTTAAATTTATTCATAAGAAGAAATTTATTGGCCTAGAACCAAGACTATTAGCATGTGGCAACAGCCTTGAGGTCAGGAAAGGAAAAGGTTCTATATTTAATTAGGCATCACAACTACCTCCTGCCTGACAGTTTCTTAACACTTTGGAATGCATCCTGCAATGTCAGAGAAGCATATGCACAGAGTAATTTCTACAATTCTGGCCACTATGGCAAAACTAGTATGAGACTATGCAAAATCAGAGAAAGGTATAATCAGGACGAGGAAGAATAACAAGTCAAATAATGGCTTTGGGCTCCTGGATCCACTAGTCCTAGGAACTAAGAGATTTGACTTTGAGTCCTCTGCTGCTAGAAAATGTGCCCACAGAGAAACAAAGCAAGACTGAAAAAAAGTGCCTTTGAAGAGTGACTTCCAACATCAAATCAGCAGCATAAGGAAATTAGTAATTTTTTTACATTACAACTAGCCTTTTAAACCTTTCTACTTATTGAATTAAGTCACAACAAAAGAAAAAGCAGGTCCTCCAGTTTTACTTGAAGGCAATAATTACTTGGCAGACCAAGTTTGGAGTGTCTACCAGCTTTTCTTAAAGTAATAAGTAAAATGAGAATTCACATCCAAATATTACAAACAGATATTGCTACTTCCTTTAGAGTTCCAGAAGGGAATCACTTCTTGAAAAGGTGAAAAGACATTTTGTGCCAAGAATAGGTATTTCAGTAATTATTTTCATCATCGACAGTTTATATCAAATTAGTTATAGTCTATGATTTAAGCGGTCTGCTCAGAGACTCAGATTACTCCAAAATGTATCAGAYGGGATTTTCAAATAATGAATTTTCATTTAATTTTAATTTTCATTTAAAATCTGTTCCACAGCAACCCCGCATTTTAGTTTCAGGCAACCATCACACTTGTGCAAAAACTTTTATTTCTTCCCTCCTACATTAAAGTAAGAGGTAGAGGATAAATCAAGAGCCGATTACAAACAATTTGAATAAAACCTCTGCCTTCATCAATCTCACCTCTCCATATCACTTGTAAAAGATACAAGTTTTTACCCCTCTCCTCCCATTGCAACAATTTAATCTTTGGAGTAGGCAGACATACTGTAAATAATATTACATTTATTTTCAATATTTTGTTTATCCCAGGTGGTTAGTGCTTTGTCAGTGTTTGTCTCACAATACAGGCAATACTTACTAATTGGACTTCATATGTTCTTACTAGTGCTGGATATTTTTTCCTTGCTTTAATCAGTTATACAGCTTGACTTGTATCAGCTATATAGCTTGAGACCATCTGTAGTCAAGCCTTTTGGTAAACTGATGTCTGTGGACCACAGACATAAAAAATGTATTCAGGAAAAACTAAACCTTCTACTCTTAGTGTCCTTCCTTTCATTAGGCCTGCTTTAGAATGGACTAATTAGGTTAGTATATGCTTTGGCTTCTGCGTAATTGAAGTTCACCACATATCTTTTGTTTTTATTTCCCATTAAGCATCTATTTCAAATATGTGCAATGAAAAAACAGCCAGACTAACAAAGGGTAACATTCTGAAAACTTTTCTTCTGAAGAAGCTAGAAAACCTATTGGCATGCYCTCAGACAGCAATTACACTATGTGTATGGATAATGGATATGGATAAATGCCACTGAGTCCTTTAAGCTACCCTGTGGCCAAAATCAGTTAAGCACACCCAACAGCAGATAGTCAACCACAGTCAAAATGGAATACTTGCAGAGGAAAACGTTACAGGAATAAAATTAGCAGGGACAGTGTAGCTTAACAAGTCTTTTCTATTTCATTTATAGTAGCCTGCTCCTACTAGAAGCTTCTGCACACTTAGCTGTACTTGGGCAGTGACAGGGACTGCTATAAAAGAGGAAAAAAAAACTTTACCCAAGTCAAAAACAAAAAAAACCAAACCCTAATAAGAATAAATAAAGAGAGAAGGCACACCTTTTAAAACTTTACTTTCCTTCCATATGTGCAGACAATCACTCCTGGTGTTCTTTTCTTGGTTATCTCTTTGAAAAGACATACACCAGCACAATGTGATACCACAGTCAGTCATTTTCAGAATACAGCTAGTTAAGATCACTTATCGACTACAATCACACCATAGCCATCTACACAATTTGTACACATTAAGTCTCAACTTTTTCCTCTACTACTGTCAAGAACAAGGAAATAAAGAAAATTCTCCAAGAGTTTCGCAAAACTGAGGATAAAAGCTWACTGCAGATTACAAAATGCAGCTTTTTCTTCCACTTATTTAGGAATCTTTAAAAAAGCCACTGTAGCAGATTGCGAGGGACATAAGTCTCTTTTGCAAAGCTTACTCATGTTAGGCTCCTTCCCTTATTTTATACTCCTTCAGAACTCATTCAAAATGCAGACTGTTTTTGAAACAGACACAAGTCAAGAAAATATAATTCTGAGTCTCAGTCCAATCTCTACTCACCAATACAAGCATTACCATCAGTCAATACTTCAGAATCCAACACAAATTTAATAGTAAAACTGATTTGCCTATATTAATACTACTGCACAGCCAACTCCACAGAAGGTGGCTCTAAACCTGCTGTGACAGACAATTCCTGCTTCTGACCCCAGTAATAAAAAAAMCCAACACAGTGGAAATTCATCAGTGTAGATGTCTCAAAGCCATGTACATACAGCCTGACATGCCTTGACAATACCAGAGCTACACTACCACAACTTTTAACAAAGCCCTTTCACTCCAAAATGGATATAAGACAACATCAGCTTCAAATTCATGCTTAAGTAATTGATGCCATTTCCTTAAGAAAAATCCCTGTCTGTTTCTACTGTGTGTAGGTAGCAAGCATGTACATCAATTATCAAATACTAGCTCAYGTATTCCTATATTAGACACCTCAAATACTTAGAGGAGTGCAATCTTAAGTCTTGCCTGTCTCAACAAGGATTTAATATGCTTGGCACAATTTTAAGGCCACTGCTTATTTAGTGAAGCCAAAATACTAAGACCTTCTCAAAACCATGTAGCTTGCTACCTTCTCTCAGCTCTCTGCAGTTCCCCCCCCTTGTTCCTGCTCTGAACCATCAGTGTTTCAATAATTCATTTTTTGTGCCACTCTCTGTATTATTTGTTTTCTACTATTGTTTGTTGCATAGCTGTGCAGTTCAGAAAATTGATTAAAAGCAGAGACATACCTTCTTTCTTTAAATTCCCTTCCAATGCAAAGCATTCTATGCTTTTTTATAATTTCTAATTAGTGCAGAGGCAGTCAGGTTGCACAATAATCTAAAAGTTGTGTTAAAGTGTTAAATCAGTATCCTTACAGGCTTGTGTAGTAATACACATAGGTTTTCTTCTCATGAGCAGGAGCAGAGAGAAGAAAACAACCTGTTTTAAGTTTTGTTTGATGCTCAGAAAATAAGAGGTTAAGAATTTWTATTTTTTTACACTACAGCATAGAAGATTCTCAAGTTGCTATGCTTATACACTCTTAAGGGCTAAATTACTTAGTTAACTACCTTTGCCTTTCACTTCTCCGTGCATATACAGTGCACAAAAAATATCTGTACCTTATTTGTAGCAGTAGCGCTGGATCCTGGGACCACAGGCACATTGGTCACTTGTACTGATAAGTAGTTATTGTCTATAAGGGGCCAAGCACCTTTCACTTTGCATGTCTGGAAGTGATCATTGAAAGTCCTCAGATGAGGATCCCCAAACAAGCCACAAAATAGGTAAGTAAGAGGAGCATTTTTCTCTCCTCCCTGATGTTCTCTTGCTTCTGTGTGACCACTGTAATTGCAAGGATCATGGGTCATTTCAGGGTTGGTAGAGGATGTGGGTCCCTCTTTGGTACAGTTTCTCTGGTTCATGAGGTCGCCAATCCCAAGCACTGCAGAATGGTAGACTAAGTTTCCACGGCATACTTTGGAATTGCGATAGGTACACACAGAGTATGCCCGCAGGGCCTTGCAGAACTCCAAATCAAAGTCCTCAAGAGCTGCGTTCAGATGTGAAGTGAAGGATACAAAATCAGTGGTACACTTCTGGATTCCACAAGATGTGTGCAGCTGGCAGTCACCTAAGCACGAAAGAAACAGCAGAAAGATATAAAGCAAACCTCTTAGGTGGCAATATCCCTTTCCATTGCCACACGTACCATAGAAAACAACGTGAAAGAAACTTTAAGTGTCACCCATAAGAGAAACACTGCATATTAGAAAGAGCTTGTGAGGTAGAAATATAGCAGTGGAGAATATCTCAGAGGCTGATGGGATTCATGATGTCTTAATCCATTACTTCATATTGTCTAGATGAAAATTAAGAGCACTAGGTCCTGTCAAGTATAAGTTAAATACTTGTTTTCAGATACCAAGGTGATGATGCACAAAACCACAAAATTCTGCGTTTAAATTAATCACTTAGTCAACAGGAAATCTCTGTTCAGTCTTTCAGTGCTTTACATAAGTTACTKATTTTTTATACAGAATTCTGTCCTTTAGAAGAATGTGATAAAGACAGCAAAGTGATATATATTTAGACAAAAATAAGACTGAATAAAGCAAAAATCCAAGTTCTCTTCTAGAAAACAGGGCAGAGGAAGGATGGTAAATAAGCAGATAAGCAGTTTGCTTTATTTCTCTGGTACTGCCATAGCTAAAGCTTCACTGCTCCTTTTTTTGGAACTAATGTGTGAAAACACCCAGTTGTGTGATGTGCGAGTTTTCAGCTAAAGCACCTGTACACTGCAGTAGCCCTACCTCTTACAGCATAACTCAGTAATAAGACAAATGAGAGAGAAACCCTCTCCCCACAAAAGCTTGAAGTAGTAATCAGATGTATACAACAGCTACACAGTTCAGTTTAAATGAGCATACCAGTCAGACCTTATCTGATGACCTGACTTCCATACAAATGCACAGTTAACATCCTAGCAAGCAAGCTGCAGTTTTAGTTTTCTTCACCACAGTTCTCACAGTCATGATCTGAAAACCTCCCAGATTCTCATGGCAACTGCCTTCTGAAAGTAACTTTCACCCAAGAACTTCCCAGGAACAGAAATTAAATTAGCAAGACCGTACACACACTAAGGAAAACAAAGCCACACATTTCAAATGGTCACCAGGAGGACCCTAGGAGAGATCGCATGCCTTGCCATCCAAAGAGTAAATGGGCCTTCATAAAGAATATGTGCATGACTTCATGCAACAGCTGTCCAAGCATGCAAAACTATCTACTAAAAACATGTGACTTTTGTTACTTTTATGATCTATAAAATTCATCTGTGTGAACATGAATCTGTAATTTCACACTGTCATAATGCAGGTTTTGAACATCACAAAAAGGCTCACAAAGGTAAATTAAAGTGAAAGGAAAACAGAAAGTGTCTAAGAGAAACTCCTGAGAAGTGGAAAATAGGCTGAATAATGTAATTTTTCATTTTTAAACAGTTGTTTTCTGCAATGCAYACAGTGATGAAAGGATATCAGCATTTTCTTTGCCTGCCCCTTAGCTGACCCTCCTGAGTCACTACTCATATGACTTACTCTGAATATCCAAACCATGAATTTATAAAGGCAATGTTTGGCCAGTAATGCGTAGCTAACACAAATCTCCTGTCAAAATACAATGAGGAACTCTCCACCTATAACTAATGAATTGCTATACATACATGAATTGTGTAAACAAGCTGAAAGTTTCTTCGTGCAAGCCATACATACCACCCCTGCAAAATACAGAAAAAMACCCTAATAACAATCTCAGCTTAAGACCCGTGCCAAGCAAAATTACAAAGGCAACGCAACACTGGATTTAGAACTAGACTTTCAAAGCACCAAAACTTTTATTTTCCTTCAGCTGTATTCGTGATATTATTTTAATCACATGTCAAACAGGCTAGCTGAGCAAGTGTCAAATTACCAAACAGTAGAATAAATCACAGAATCACACAAATTTTAGGGCTGGAGGGGACCTCTGGGTATCGTCTAGTTGAACACGCTTGCCAAGGCAGAGTCACCTGGAGCAGGTGACACAGAAACGTGTCCAGGTGAGGTCTGAATGTCGAGAGAGACATTCCTGGGCATACCTCCCTGGGCAGCCTGTTCCAGTGTTCTGCGGTCCTTAATATGAAGAAGTTCTTCCTCATGTTAAGGTGGAACTTTTTGCGTTTTAGTTTGTAGTTACTGTTCTTCCGGTCGCTGGGCACCACCGAAACAGCCTGGCACCATCCTCTCGGATGAAGATATTTACATGCATTAACAAGATCCCCTCTCAGCATTCTCCTTTGCGGACTCCACAGGCCCAACTCGCGAATCTCTCCTCATGAAAGCCTCCACCTGAAGGAAAAGGACCCGCCAGCTCCTCGAGTCTGTGTGCATCCGGCTGGACTCCCACCCCTCTCAGCCCTGCTCCCCTGGTACCTGCGCCCAGCAGCAGCAGACCCAGAGCGGCGAGCAGCAGCCGGAAGGCGGCGAGCAGCGGCTCAGCCCTGGCGGTGAGGGAGGGCGCGGCGCTCCCCATGCCTAGCCATGCAGGTCCCCGGGCCGGAGACAGGACCGCGCCGCAGCATGAGGCGGCGGCGGCGCGGGCGGACGGACGACGTTCTACACAGTGCTTTCCCCCTCCGCCGCCTCCTCCTCCTCCTCCTGCTCCTCGGTGCTTTCCGCGCCTTCTCCTGATCCAGCCACACGCACGGCTGCGGAACGTAGCGCCACACGCACAAAGCGACAGAGCCGCAACGAGGCGGCTGAGGCAGCAGCGCCCGCCCTATGCCCATCTCGTCAACCGCCCCACCTCCTATTGGCTGTCCGAACTGTCCGTCAGGGTCCCCCGAAGGCCCTGGCGGCCACAACTCGCCCGCTGTCGGCTCCTCAGCTGCCGCCGCTGCGTCACTACGGCTGACTGCGCCCGCCCAAGGAGCCACGCCCCCTGCGGTGGGGGGGGCCGCCAGAGGCCGCCAGGGGGCGCTGCCGGGACAGGGAAGGGAAGAGCACCGGGATTGCGCAGGGAACCCGCTGGGGTRGGGCGGAAAACGCTATTGGGAAAGGGAGCAGAGCCGGAGAGGAGAGAGGGCTTCGGCGAGATGGGGTGCCTCCGAGAAGTGACGAGAGAGACCTACGATGTAGACAGGGGACCGTCGTGACAGGTCAGGGTGGCAACACCGGTGTATCGGCGGGAACAGGGCTGGGGACAGGGCAGGTGACAGCGGAGGGAGAGGGTGGACAGGGGTTAGGGCAGAGACATCGCCAGAGCGAGAATTAGGAAAAGAATCTGCAAGAGAAAATTCCGCCATACTCAGGGTGTTTTTTGAGCATCCAAGGGCAAATTTCCCTTTGAATCTGTCATTAAGAAGCTAACAGGAGGAGCTTACAGTGCATCTCAACTAAGTAAAAATACTACTTTCAGGCTGTTTGTTCTTCCAGTCTGTTTCTCCTTGCTAGCAAACATATTTCATGCTTCTAAGATTAAACTGACTGAGTCAGATTGGTTGAGGTTCAACAAGGCCGAGTGCTGGATCCTGGCTTATGAGTGTGGAGTGGCCCCCTGTAGTGCCACAGGCTGGTGCAGTGGCTGGAAAGATGCCTAGGGAAAAGGGCCTGGAGGTTCTGCCTGGCAGCAGCTGGACGTGAGGCAGTGTGAACCCTAAGGGCCAAGAAGGCCAATGGCATCCTGGCTTGGGTCAGCAATAGTGTGATCAGAAGGACTAAGGCAGGGACTGTCCCCCCGTACTCAGGACTGGTTAGGTCACACCTTGAATTCTGTGTTCAGTTTTGGGCCCCTCACAACCAGAAAGCACTGAGGTGCTGGACTGAGTCCAGAGGAGGGAAACAGAGCTGGGAAGGGTCAGGAGCACATGAGGAAGAGATGAGGAGAGGTTGAGGGAGCTCAAGGGAGCTCGAGCTCAGGATGTTCAGCCTGGAGAAAAGGAAGCTCAAGGGAGATCTCATTACACTCTACAACTCCCCGAGAGGACATTGTAGCCAGGTGGGGATGGGTCTCCTGCCATGTCTCAAATGAGAGGACAACCCGAAATGGCCTTAAGTTGCCCCAAGGGACTAGCTTTGGTGATTCTGTGATGTGGATCCTCAGGAAAAGCATGGTCAATATACAAAATACTATACACAAGTTAAAAATCTACTTATACAAAATAGAGACCGAGTCCCTTAGATTCCTCTTTGTTAGGAAGTTCCTGGAAAATAAAAATCAAAAAAAGAAACGGTATAATTTTGTTGCTTTCATCAACCATATCTGAAAAACCCCCAAACACACAAACAAAACTCGAAATCCAAGCAAAAATCTGAGTTTTAATAGCCATTAAAATTAATGTGCATTGCCACAATCTAGGAAGAAGACCTTTGGCCTTTACTGTAGGTCACTTGGTATTCATTAATCAAGCTGTGGCTTTGGGAATTGTCACCTATGGTTTCCTTTTTCTTCAATGTTCTTTGAGAAATATTTCTGCTATGCACCTCTACTAAGAGGCAACACCAGCCTCCTTTTAATTTTGTATTGCTCTAGCATAATAATAATTTCATAATAAGAGGGTAGTAACAGGTACTTGCATTATTTCAAGCTGTGTTTGACTTTGGGTATTGTCACAGCAAGGGTACAGGTACATGCTTCTTTTGTAGGCTGATTGAGTCCCACCCTTGTGTGCTCTCCCTGTGTTGCAGAAGCCATGTAGCTGTATTAATGCATGGTACGTCTGACTTACTGTCCATCTTCTGTCTCAAAGGAGTTTATCCTCAAAAGATACATGCCACACCAACGTGCTATGGAACACAGCCTCTGTTTGTGTTCTGGCTAAACTCTGGCTAGATCTGAGCAGAGGCAGATTCTCATTCTGAATCACGTAGTATGCAAAGTTCTACAGCCTTGGATGTTTATGATGCTATTTTTACCTCTTAGCTCTATAAATAGCTTACCTAAGAAAATACTTCACTAGAAGTCATATGGCATATTTCCTTTCTCTTAGGACCTAATACTGTCCTACTGCTATTTACTTTTTTTTACTGGAGCAAAAAGTACAAAGAAAGCAAGATAGCTGTCAGTGTGATAGATGTAATTATGTTCCCTTGACTAATGCTGAGTAATAATTCATTCTCCAAGCACAGGCATTGGTTTATGGAACCAGATTATATCATCCTATATCGTTCTGGTTCATGTAAATCAGGACTAACACTGAGTGTTTGTATCTATAGCAAGAAATTTTTCTCACGACCTCTACTACTACTAAAGGTTTTTAAAGCATTCAAACATCCAGCTAATGCAGTAAAAGCTTCCTAGGAGTAGGAGGATGGATAGCTTGGGAGGCGTTTTAGAAGTTGAGGCAAATCTCTATCTTACATAACTGAAACTGAAAAATGCTGAGGGCTCTGTTTTGAAATTAATTTCTCACAAAGTASACAAATACATTGTAGATTGTACAATGACTCCGGAGTGGTGTAAAAGTGCATGAAGAGTTGATACATTGTATGTGGGGTTGATTAATGTTCGTCTGCTTGTTGTGTGGGAAACTAGCAGCATCCTGAAGGAAATAAGATGTTCGCTTGGATTGGATGTTTCTTTCCCAAAGTAACACTTGAAATTGTAGCTGTCCTTAGCAGGCCCTTGCAATGAGTTATCCCTGAACATGTGGCTCCACTGCCTTTCCAAACCCTACAGTTTCTTTCCCCACTTTTATGGAACTGGGGCCTCTGTGGGGCATGCCTGCCTATTTTCCCTCAGCCTCTATTGTTACCCATTGCTAAAATCCTCCTGGATCCTGAGGTGCCCATCTAATTTGAAGCTAGCTGCTTCAAATACCACAATTCAATCATCTTTCAGTTAAAAAATATTATTGATTGCACATTGCAACAACAGTGCTGCCTGTACAAAAGTGCCCTAAAACCAACTACCTTTTAAAAGAAAATTTATTACAGCTTGGTAGGACCACAGGGCTTATATACAGTTACCAATTTCAGTTAAAAGCTTGCTACAGATTGGTACAACTGTACTGACCAAATAAAAAGATACCATTTTCAGTTTACACAATCAAATGTATTGCAGGTTACAAAGTAGTGCCTTCATATATATATGTATGTATATAAAGAGACAAATACCAATTGAACTATCTAAATATCCACAGAGAAATAATGAAATTGTACAACTGTATACAGCTTTACATAGAACTCCATACATATACGAACATAACAGTCTATGGTATATAAATATATTGACATCTGTGTAAATATGATACTGGGTGAACCTATATATAAATAAGCAAACACCAAAGTACCTATCGAAAACTCTGTGTACCTATAACTAAATAAATATAACTGTATATATTTTTAAATACAACTCCTGACATACAGAAAGACAGCCAAATACAGACAGATACAGGTATGGAGAGGCCAAGATACAGACAGAATCTAGCCAGCCCATTTCCCATGCTCACTCTCAGCCTCTTCCCCACCTTCCAGAGCAGCCCTTTTGGAAACAGAGCAGATGGAGATCTAGGAAGCAAGGGRAAGCCTGAGTCACCTCCACTGTGTTCTCAGCCTTGCCATAGCCTCAGCACACCTGAAGCCTTCCCAATCCTTTCAGACATTCCAAGCCCGTCGACCCCTACACTGCTACCATCCCTCTCAGTGTCCCCAGTGCCCTTAGTCCCACCACCCTTCTAAGCCCATGCCATTTCCCTGTCCCCTCAGCCCCTGTCATCATCCTGAGCTCCCCTAGACCTTCAGCTTCACTGCTTCCTCTCAGCCCCTACAGTCTCACCGTCCTCAGAATGCCACCATCATCACACACAGCAGAATTGTGCCTTCAGCCATCCTGTCCCCTGTGGCAGTCCCAGTCCCCTCAGTCTTACAGCCCTTCAGCAACTCCCCAGTGCCTTGAGTCCTGAAGCTCSAGTGGGACAGTTAATTGGTGCTGCCAGCAGTTCCTCCTTCTCCTGTCAGATGCAGGCAGCCAGGATGCAGGCTGAAAGCAGCTTGGACCAACCAGGCCACCAGCCTTGACACCAATGAGGCAAGAGGGGACAGAAGAGACACAGTGGACAAAGCAAGAGGGGACAGAGGCAGCAGAGTGGGGAAAGAGGGGAAAAAGCAGCCATATGCCTCTACAAATATCAGCAATGTACCTAAATATCCATAATCTTAGAACTCTAGAAATAAAGGCCCCTTGATTTATAAACTTAGCTAGTTTTTGTTAGGATGTCACATCTCTTCAGAGTGCTTATGGACGTGTACATCAGATTGGGTTCTTGCCTTCATGGCCAGTTTTTAATATTGACACAGACATGGTTAAAGGGATAAGAAAGTGTTTGGGATCCCAAGTGCACAACTTGATGGCAAAATGCACACCTGTGTATAGCACAGATACAAGTTTTATAGGTTTCAGGAATACGCATATCTATCTAGGATTCCCCAATAAACTTAAATTCAGTGATGTTCCCCTATTCTAGTAAATCCCCA